GAACAGGAAGTTGAGAAGAAATCAGAAAGCATTGAAGAACAAGTTATTGAAGAACAGGCGTGTGAAGAACAGATTACTGATAATCGCCCAAATGAAGAGCAAAACGACGAGAAATCAATGTGTGGAGTTCGGCTCGGGAAAGAACAGTCTGTGGAGAGTGTGGAAGAACACGGAATGGACGACGGCACAGGCGAAGAACATCCTTGTGAAGGCGAGTCCGGTGAAGAACAAGCGGGTGAGCTAAAAGCGGGTGCCGAGATGGACGCCGCTGAGCCCGTAATTGAGATAGATGTGGGTGAGCGAGCAGCCGGCAGTGGCGAGACCGCCTCGGCCGACGTAGACGCTGACAGTATCAGCATCGTCAGCGCTGATGACAAAAGTGGATGCTCTGCCGACGTCGCCGATGCTAGCGGGGATGAGGGTAATTATGTCGACCTGGTTAGCGGCAGTGATAGTGGCAGTGGGGGTGAAAATGGCGGTTTGGCACCCACGGGCCCTGGGCAGAGAGATAGTGACGTCATATCTAACATACCATCCGGTCCAGAGAACGGCGCTGGCAGTGGTTCTCCCGTGGACGGCGAGGCGGGTGATTCGTCGGCCCTCCGTTGTCTAGAGCAAGATTGTCACGACGAAGAGCGGGTGCCTGAGGAAGTGCGGGGCGGGGAGGAACATCCCTGTCACGAGGGCGGCGAGGGCGGCGTGCTAGGCAAGGAGGCGGAAAGGGCGTGGGCAAGCGCAGAGGTGCAAGGCGTAACCAAAGAAGAACACGACATCGACCCTCGTACGTACGCAGTAAGCTCGCAGGAACAGGTGGATGACGGTGGTGAGGAGTCCTCGCCCGATGACGAGACTCTGAGAGACGCCCCCAGCGAGCCGCGTGAGCCCGCGAGCCCTTCGGAGACCCTCGCGTCAGAGGAGGAGAAAGAATCTAGTCCCGACGGCTCCCCTGGACGGGTCGACCAGGAGGAGGCCCTTGGAGCCGCGACACCAAAGAAGCAACATACCGAATCGGAAAAAGACAGCGGACCAGAGGAGCCCTGCGTTCCCTGTGGGAGCCGGGGCGTGCGAGGGGAGTGCTGTTTGTGCGCGTCCGCCGCGAGTGCAGGCGAGAGGCCAGACGGCTACATAGTGGAGTGCCAGGACAGAGGCACTGTGGTGGTTGGCGTTCGAGGCGTGACGTTCGTGGAGGCCTTGCCGTTCCGCGATCGCTATTCTCCCGAAGTGTCGATAATCTGGGAGGAAGACACCGAAGTGGGCGACGGAGAGGCCTGTGACGCTGCCCCTGGCAACAAGCCGGAAATTGCCAAGGAGCCATCGCTAGAGGGAGACTTCGACTCGATTACTCTCGAAGACGTTTCTGCCGATGCTGATCGGGAAGGCGTTGCTGAAGGTCAGGTTTTGGCCAGCAGCGATATTATCGACGTCCCGACGGAATTCGCTGACGATCTGGCACTGGTCCGCACAAACGAGGGAGTACCTGGCGTGAGTTCAGGGGAGGAAGGCACGGCAGACGAGGTCCCGACACCTACCGAAGGAGACGAAGACGTATCTTTGGCAACAGCAGAGGTCGAGGAAGCGGCAGAGCAGGCGGAGGCTGTCGCGGGGAATCTCCAAGAGGAGGCCGCTGTCACCGACGACAAGTGCTTAACAAGTGTTGCTGTGCAGGACTCGCTAAGCTTCCGTGTCGGTGCGGGTGAAGCGGGAGAAGCTGGGGAAGTGAATGAAGTGAACGGTGGCAGAGCTGAAGCGATCGTTGAAGTTATCGTGAACACGGCCGAGGAAACTGAGGCGAATATTATTGCGAAAGAGTGTGAAGTGAGAGGAGAGGAGGCGAGTGGCGATCACGACGCAGGTGGCGATGATAATGAACTTATCAGGGGAAGTGATAAGTGCAGCGAAGTGAGCGAGCGTGACCGGGATGAGATAGGCCGCGAGGAGTCCCCGGATGAGTGCGCTGACGAAGGCGAGAGCGAAGAAGAGAGGCGAAGGAATAACGATGAGGTCTTGGAAAGTCTCTTGATGTTGAGAAGTGCAAATAGTGTTGAGTGCGATGAGCAGTGGAGTGCTGTTGACTTAGTCGTGAGTGGAGCGAGAGGTGACCAAAGTTCTCAAGAAAAAGCAATTAAAGTCAGTGTTAAAGTGATTGAAGAGAATTCTTCCGAAAGGGAAGCCAGTGCTGATTTGAAAGCTGAAAATCCGCCGCGTGCCGACTCGTCCGCTGAAGGCGAGGCCTGCGCGGACACTCCCAAGACAGCCATGAGCGACTCAAGTAACCGCGACTCTGGCACGAGTTACTTGAGCGAGGGCGAGGACAGCGACGACGACACCCTTGAAGGGCGGAACAGCGACGGCGACGCCATGACGGCGAGCAGCACCGACGACGGCAGCAGCGGCAGTGGCGGCAGCTCCGGCGGCGGCCCGGGCGGCACCGGCGGCAGCGAGGCCTTCAGCAAGTCGCACCGGCGGGAGGACAGCGGTGTGGAGGTGGGCCTCGAGGCCC